TGTTTGGGTGGGGCCTCCTAAGCCTGGCTAATTAGGCTGGATACACCTCCAAAGGCTGAGGGTTGCCTTGGTAACTGTGGGCTGAGCTCACGCCCATCATCCGGGAAAATACATAGGCCTGTCCACACCCACACACACCCATCCCGTGCCCAACCACAGGGCTTCACGAGGCGGAAGGAGTGAAAACATGAAAACTGGCGTCAAGTGCTCCCTGCCCCTGAGTGGCGACAGAATCTTTGAGCAGAAGCTGAGCCCCAACTGTGGTTGAGAGCATGGCAGCTACAAAGGACTAGAGTGATAGGAGCAGGACTGATTCTGCCACCCTGCACTCCTGTGTCGCTGCTTTGGGCCTAGCTCATGTTAGGCCCCTGGTAAATATTTGTGGGATGAAAGAATGGTGTTTGCAGTGTGGGTCTGAGGCAGAGCAGGGCAGTTGTGTTGAATGTCGAGGTCAACTCAGGGTCAAGTCACTCGTCTCAATAGCTGAGGGCTGAGGTGTCAGCTCCACCCACTGGAAGAGTCAGGGCTCTTCCTGTCTGTGGGGCTGGCATGTCCAAGGTGTAGGTCTCTGCTTAGCCACCACAACGCGCTGTGTGGCCTTAGGCAAGGCACTTGGCTTCTCTGATTCTGTTTCTTCATCTTTAAAATGGGCATGATGACACCTATGTCAGGGGTGTTGTGAGAACGAGATGAGACAAATGCAAGGTGTTCAGCAAGCGCTGGACACAACGTAAATAGCCAAGGGACACGCCTTCCCTCCTGCCCATGGGACTGCAGAGCCTGAGGGGCCTACGGACATAGGGAGGCGTATGTTAAGATGAAGAATGGAGGCCCAGAGACGGGTGGGATCTGCCCAAGGGCACAGAGCAAGGGCACAGCGAAGTAGACACTGATGCCTGCGGATCTAGCTGCCCAGGCCAGAGTTTTCATCTGGAGACCCAGAATGTTCTGGGGTTCTAGCATTCTTCCTCCAGGTGCCCTGCCTCCTTGCCCCATTCAGGCCAGGGCCCGGCCCCAGAAATGGCATAGTGACTGGGTGGTTCCTGCCTGGCACATGCTCAGGTTCAGGGCCTGGGCTGCTTCCCTGTCCGCTTGCTCTTGGCCGCCCTGGAGCCAGGGGCCTTCCTCCCCACCCACTTTCCCCGGTCTCCGACAATGACCCAGGTGTCTAAAGGATCTGCTCCTGACAATAAGCAACATCCTCCTGCCGAGGAATTGTGGTCCCAGCCAGCGGTGACATACAGCCTGGGAACAGGGCGGCGGCCCTGTGCGGGCCCGCAGAACCCCTCTGCTGTCCTGTGCTATTTTCCCAGTGCCGTGTGCTTGAATGTTCTCCCAAGGACAGGCTGCTCTGGGCCTAGTCCTGGTTGGGACCTCAGACACAACGAACGGATGTTTTCTGCTTCCCTCCTCCTCCTCTAGGGCAGAGCCCTGTGGACCTTGGCCCACTCCTATCTGGCCCTTTCACTTGATACTGAACACAGTCTCCACCCCCTAGACCTGACTCCCAGTGCAGCTTCTCCTTTTTCCTAAAAGGGGAAGAAGTCCTTTTGGGGCCTGTCGGGTGGGTGGTGTTTTTTGGGGGGGAGGGTGTTGGGGATTGAG